ACTCAGCCAATCATATGTTTGGGTTATCTTGTTTATCGTTTTATTCCAACAATGAAGTATAAGTCATTATAATCATTATAATGTGTTTTTTTAACCTTAAACCACATAAACACATTTCATTACACCAAATACACAACATAATGTTCTTTTTAGCAACGTCATATGACCCCTTCAAAACAGCATTTACTCATTGTTAACATGACATGGAATGGCTGTATTTTAATGGATGCAAAAGGTGTTGATAGGCTTTTAGTTTCATTGTGCTCACACTCAGGTAACATAATTATATATAGTTTGGGTCTTTATGACTTTAATAGCTGTTTTTGTGCTTTGGAGAAATAAAGAATCAAACATAACATCACTTTAAATTTTCAGAGCAAAAGCTGAAAATAGCATGATGAGTCTGAGTTTGACCTTCTCCTGCTTTTTTCAGTTCAGTGCACTGCAGAGGTATGACCTTTGTTCTCTGTGTACCGTATGAAGACTTCAGGATATGTGTCTATATGACAGCATAGTGAATGTTTATGATGCTGACTGAGGAGTGGCTTTTCTTCAAAGTTAAAGGTTTTATGGTGGTGTGTGTGTGTATGTGTGTGTGTGTGTGTGTGTGTGTGTGTGTGTGAGATTGCATATGCCTGTTGTTGTGTGGACAGATTGATGGATTTAAAATAGCAAAAAACTTTTTGCGCTCTGCTGCCTGGAATCTTCATGCTGTCGTGGTGTGACGGCTCTCAGCATAACACCCTACTTATGTCTGCCATAAAACATGCCTTAATCACACCCTATGGAGTTGCAAATTTCTCAGGTACGCTCGTAAACACACACACACACACACATTTTCTTAAGAAATGCAGTGCAAATGGGGACATACCATAGATTTCTTTGGGTTTTATATACAGATAATTATGAATAACTCATGCTAAACCTAACAGAAAACTTTTTAGAATTAAAACAAAAAATGTATTAATACACTATCATTGAAAGGAGTATGATATTTGAATTCTTCATAAGATTACAAAATATTTCTATTTCAAACAAATGCTGAACTTTATATTCATAAAATAATCCTGGAAAAATGTATCCCAATTTCCACAAAAATATTAAGCAGCACAATGGTTTTCAACATTGATTAAAAAAATATATTTCTTGAGCACCAAATCAGCATATTGTTATGATCAAATAAATGCAGCATTGGTGAACAATAGAGACTTCTTTCAAAAACATCAAAATTCACCATTTTAACAATAATATATAGCATTTTCAGAAGAATGTCTCAGATGTTCTCAAATGCAGGTTTTGTCAGATTTAGCTCACTTCCAGGAACAAACCTGCTCCCAAAGTATAGCTAAGTATGTACACACATAGGCTAAAAGACACATAGTGATTTTGGTAACACTTTAGTATATGGACCAGTTCTCACTATTAACTAGTTGCTTATTAGCATGCCTATTAACATATTGGCTGTTTATTAGTACTTATAAAGCACATATTCAGCATGACCATATTCTACATCCCTTATACCCGATACCTAAATTTAACAACTACCTTATTAACTAATTCATAAGCAGCAAATTAGGAGTTTCTTGAGGCAAAAATCATATTTAATGGTTTGCTGATAGCAAGAATTAGACCTTAAAATAAAATGTGACCATGATTTTACACTGGAATAAAAACTCTAACATATAAACAAAAATGTATGCATGTAAACAACATAGAGATCCCACCACGCAGAAACACTGCTACTCAGAGCTTCACAGAACTAGCTCTTGGCAGAAATATTTGTTTATCTCTCAGTATCTGTCACTCACAACATACTGGCACAAAGTCATCACGTCAGAACTGTTTTCCGAAATGATTTAGTGGCAATTTCTTTCCATCTGTCTCTTTCAGCAGTACACTTTATACGCATAAAGTTATCTTGTGAGAACACTATGTCAATGCAACAGAGAAAAACATGTTACACAAAAGAACCCATTATATACTGAGAAAAATGCTTATATATGTTTAAGATAATACTTAATTGGCCTAAATAACAAAAACTAGTCTGACATTGATGCTGTTGTCCCGCTGAGATGCTCTACTGCTGTTTGCAGTTCTGCTGAACATGTACAGATGAAGCCGAGGTCATTGCTTTCTTCCAGCTGTCCTTTATCACATTGGTACTAGTATTGTGTTAAACACTGTTGATTAGACATAAGCTTCATCTTATCACTCTAACACATGTCCTCCACTGGGACATAGTTCAGCCCCCTCCGACCCTCTTTACCACCTTGTAGCTCCCCAGGGTCTCTTGAGTCCAAGTATGCACAATACCCTCATCAGCCATCAGATTGTATAGGACCATTACTCATTCACACAGCCTTGCCTTTTGTGTGAGACAATTCTTCAGACGAATGCATGCACGCACACACACACACACACACACACACAGACATATATACCCCCAAATCCCCCCACTTCGCTCTTCTAGATCCCATCTGCCTCCTACCCCCACACATCTACAACTACAAGCCCCCTAGGCCCTGGACTTCATCCCTTACTTCACCCCTAAACCAGCTGTCCAGGAGCCGAAGCCCCTGAGGGAATAAACAGGTGCTGAGCTTGTGCTGGCCACTGCAGTCAAGCTGCACATTTTAATACTGGCAGCCTCCATCCTGCCACACGCTGTCATGCAGATACATGATGAACATGAACACACACACACACACGCGCACACACACACACACACACACACACAGGTTTGCTTGGCTAACTACATGAGGATTTATCATACAGACCTTTATGAAACTATATAGTACCATTCAAAAATTTGGAAACAATAAGATTTTTTTTTTACTGTTTTAAAAATAAGTATTTTATACAATACAGTATAAACAGTCTTATTCTGAAATATTAGTAGTAATTTAAAATAACTGTTGTCTGTTTTAATATATTTTCAAGTATAATTTTTTTCCTGTGAGGGCAAACCTGAATTTTCCACAGCAATTAGCCTTCAGTGTCACATGGTCCTTCAGAAATAATTTCAATATGCTGATATGGTGCTCAAGATGCATTTCTTTTTATTATAAATGTTGAAAATGGTTGTGCTGCTTAATATTTCTGTTCAGAAAAATTCAGAAAGATCGCCTATTTATACATCAGTTTTGAGTATATATTGACTATAACCATGTGGGAGGACAAAAAGAAAGGAAATGCTATAAAAATATACATCAGATGTTCTTTAAAATAGATAAAAAACAGAAACAGTGCCACGCTGAGCTGAGGTCCAGAGTATTTTTAGCACAGCTAGCGAACTGTTTTAACAATGTACCAAGGGTTGCCATACATAAATTTAACAAAATGTGTGGCCATACACTAATGACCAGCAATTTAAAACTCTCCAGATTGAAATGGTTAAAAATTCTTGAAAATTGCCTTGATGTCTTATAATTACATCTTAGTAAATTTAGAAATTGACATTAAACCTGCACAATTCTTACTTACTGCTTCCTTCTTGCGTAATATGTCATGTGTAAAGGGACAAAAATCTTGGGCTCAATCTGATAAGGATAAATCAAATCTGACTAGTGCAGGCCCTTGTGTTTTCATTTTGTATGTAACAGCTGGCCCTTGGCTGCACACACTTCTCTTGACACTTCTGACCTAAACTCCCACTAGCATATGTGTGTGTGTGTGTGTGTGTGTGTGTGTGTGTTCCCCAAGATGATGGTCAGTAATAACTATATACGACAGACACCAAACAAAAACCATTTAGGTTAAAACCTTATAACCTAAAATAAAACATAAATAATTATGTTAATGATGTTAATGATAAAATATTATCACAAGGCCACACAAGAACTAAAAAGTAAAGGAAATATTATAATACCTCATGCAATTCTTAGCTCATCTTAGCTAACTGTTAACACAACAAAGTGCCATAAAATCTCCCCAGTCTTCTATTCGGAAAAAGAGCTATTTGTTGAGACTCATTTATTGTGCTTTCAATGAGTCTGGTGCAATGCTTGTGTCGTGTGTATATGAGTTTACTGCTCATTAGGGACATGTATGATTGCATGTTGTTGTCATCATGCTGAGGCAAGGCACTGCATACTCAGCGTTGTGTCTTTCATACCCACTCCCTCACTAAAAAAAAGAAGCCCATGCCCAGTATCAGATTAATTAAACCCTGTATACTCATTTCGGTGGGATGTCCCTCTTACTCATAGACTGTCCTATGGTGAGAGAAAGAGTGGGGGTGGGAGAGGTAGAGAGAGTAAAAGAGAATGTTTAATTTTGAGAATTAAACTGCAAATGATTTAGCTGATTCTGTGAATGATAAGGTTTTGTATAACTCGCTTCCTGTGTGTCACTGTCTAATAGTGGTTATTGGTAGGTTTTATGAGTGTTTTACAATAGCACAGGAGGAACGGAACTATAAAACTGTTCAGGAGGTTCAGCTTAGTCCCTGTTTCAAATTAATGACATTGCTCCTAAATCTATGACATTTTTTACATAGTCTTTGTGTATGTAAGTGAGTTGGTGTAGCAATGTGATGTCACCCTCAAGAATGGATAGACCAAAATAAAAAGTGCTTTTATCAAGATACTGATGTATGACCAAAGTCCTTGTTTCATGTGATTGATTGTACGTGATTTTAAACATATATTCAAATGTACTACTTATTTCTTTTCGGGGTAAAATTATTAAGGAAAAATTACTATAAGTGTAGGCTACCTTTAAAAGCAAACGCAAAACGTCACAGAGAGCCGCAGCACACATCAAAGCGGATGACATTAAACTTGAGTAAACCTCACCTTTTAAACAGCGACAGCACAAAAACATACGCTATATTACAGACATATGAGGTACTGCATAATGTATTTAAATATATCTGCTTTTTTCTCGCAGAATGTGTTGTCCAATTTGTCCAGACGGGATGAAGGGAACTATTTTCCCGCGCGGAGTGATATGGATGGCCTGGCGGTGGTGTGTGGCGCGCACTATGCTTGATGATCTCGAGAGACGGACGGAGCGGAGCTGAGCGCTGAACTTGAGACCGTGTCTCGGTCACGTCTCAAGTGCCTCTCACTTTTCTCAATTGTACTATCGAGCCGTTTATTTTGATTTACCGCCTTCGGATTTCGCTGAAGATAAAAAAGTATCCCGAATTTCTTTTCGAGTTGCATGAGAGACTGCGCAATAGAGGAACGCCTAACTGAATTCAACATGTCAATTTTACCGTTCACTCCGCCGATCGTGAAGAGGTTGCTGGGCTGGAAGAAAGGAGAGCAGAACGGACAGGAGGAGAAATGGTGCGAAAAAGCCGTCAAGAGTCTGGTGAAGAAGCTGAAGAAGACGGGACAACTGGACGAGCTCGAGAAAGCCATCACAACTCAGAATGTCAACACCAAGTGTATCACCATACCACGGTGAGTGCATTTAAAAGCATCCTCGACACGGAAACATCGGCTTGTGGTGAAGTGGGCTGTTTTACTGTCGTGGTTTTAGCAGAACGAGTCCGCATAGTCTTAAAGTGAAGCTAAAACACCTTTGAAGAACACAGTAAAGTTGAAGACAGCAGCAAAGCCCCTTCTGTTTAGTAATCAACTCTTGTGTTTCCTACATAGATTATAAACAGCATCTCCATCCATCGTGCAGTTACTCGTATCTCTTTATATTATCAAATTCCGACACTCCTGTTGATTTATTATAACTTCATACTCTCCTGTGCTTTCATAAACCCACATTTGCCTTGCCTGGGGTTGTCGTTTGGGTTGTGATGAGGTTATATAACCCGACCTTAATCTGGGCAGCGCTGGAGCTGCTGTATCTGGGCTAAACGGTGTTATGAATTCTGTGCTTATATTGTGGATGGTGGGGTATATTTGGCGCAGGACGTTCAGGTCTGCTATTCCTCATGAGTGTGCGTGTGCGTGCATAGGTGGATATGGGATGGAGGTTGTTGTCTGAAGTTGTTTTTTCCTCTCAGTTTTGCAATGACTGGTTAATCTTGTTATGTCACAGTACGATGCTGGCCAACTGCTCACAGGTCTGCCCCTTCGAGCTACATGAGGGTTGCCTACAAGCCCTTACTCTCAGCAGATCTTCAGTCTCAGCACTTCAGTACAGAGAAATACGGCATAGGCACTGGTTCTGTCATCCTGTTTATTGATGTATTCAAACGTGCAAATCCAGAACTCGGTTATAGAGGTGTTGTAAATGATGCTTTTTGTTTCTGTAAGATGTTTTCTTATAGAAAGACTTTCTGGCATAGGGTTAGAATAGCAGATAAAGGTCAGTTCTTAAATTGCATTTGATAATAATAAATTTGCATTTGAGCCAAAGTGACCTATTTATAATGTTACAAAAAGTTATATTTTAAATAAAGGTTGTTCTTTTGACATTTCTATTCATTAAAGGATTCTGAAAGAATGTATCACTGTTTCCAAAAAAAAAAAGCAACTGTTTTCAACATTGATAATAATAAGAAATGTTTCTTGAGCACCAAATCAGCATATTAGAATGATTTCTGATTGATCATGTGACACTATCGACTGGAGCAATGACTGCTGAAAATTAGAATCTGCCATCACATGATAAAATTACGTGCATTCAAAAAGAAACCATTTTTAAACATTTTTAAAAAATCATTCCAACCGCAAACTTTAGAACATGGTGAGATGGTATATTGTCATTATATTGGTCAGCAGGTATCATCAAGATCCCTACATATTGTCTCCAGCATATACTTAAACCAAACATTTTACATTATTTAGCAAATCTTGAAAACACAGATGAAAATATCCAAATGATTTTGTCAGTCTGGTAAAGTAAAAATAATAAACTGTTGTATTACACATCCCTATTAGAATTCCAACAGTAAAAGATGCAAATAGAGATTAGAATTTAGAAATGACAAAAAGGGAAGAAAGCGTCCTCTTCATGGACAGAGAGAGACACACACACACGTGTGTGAGAAAGTGAAATAATTCATGGGATGTTGGTTTTTAAATCAGGTCACCAGATCGCAGCGTCTGTTGTCTTTTTCACATTATAAGATTAGAATAAAAAGTAAGAGTGGTTGGAAAGACTAAAAGAGCTCTTGACAAAAAATCTTTTTGTGATATCAATATCACATTAAGCAATGCAAGATTTGATGTAAAATAACTAGAGCATGATGGGAATTTACTACCAAGTCAGTCAAATGGATGGATAATTATTATTTGTAAAGCAACCTCTGACTGTATTGCCATTGAAAAACTCATATTCAGTGTTGCCAACTGCTTTCAATTGAAAGTAGCTAAAACTGGTAGCTAAATGTCACTAGATGACATCATAATGGCAAATTCACTGATCTATATAAAGATGAATATAGATCAGTGGGCAAGATGAGAACTTAGATAAGGTTTGTCCAAGAAGTTGCTATATTTGTCCCTAAACTTTTGAAAAAAGTCTCAAAAGGGGCGGGGAAGTCGTTAAATCTAGCTACAAAGTAGCTAAATTGGCAACACTGCTCATATTTGTGTAGATCAGGGGTGCCCAACCCTGCTCCTGTCGATCGACTGTCCTGCAAAGTTTAGCTCCAACTCTAATCAAAGACACCTGCCTTTAATTTTTAAGTGATCCTGAAGACCCTAATTAGTTGCTTCAGGTGTGTTTGATTAGGGTTGGAGCTGAACTTTGCAGGACAGTCGATCGCCAGGAGCAGGGTTGGGCACCCCTGGTGTAGATCAACAATTTCACTTCATAGTTATTTTATTCATAGTTTACACAGACGATAAAGACAGATCACCTTTACTGTAAAGGCCACAAAATCTCACCTATCTGCAGTCTTCAGCCTTATAATCACAGGTAGCTCTCTGAAATGGAACAAGATGCGACAGAATTACTATGCTGGTAAACCTCATAGGAGAGTTTATTCATGAGCTATATGCCATTGCCTTGACACATTTGGGTTGCTTGACTAAATTTACTATATTTACTAAATTGGGTTGCCTAACAGAATTTAATTAAAAACTAGAAGACACAACAAAGAACTATGTAACCTTATAGTCAACATTTACATTTATAGACATAAAAAATAGACATAAATAGAGTCCCTTTGAGATTTCCTTTCCAAATTTGAAGTTTGCATAATTGTGTGGCGTTACAGGGCCGAGCAGCTGCGGTCCAAGCCTGCAGCGCTGTTGTATTGGTTGTTGTTTCCAAAGAACAGATAGCTCAGTGAAAGCAGGGCTCCCAGCCAGAGATCAGGCTGAGTCACCCCGGAGGGAGAGGGAGTTTGAGCCTGTGGCTTTGTGGTGTGACCCACTGGTGCTTCTCTGGTAGAGCTCGGTGGTGACAGAAACCAGGTGTGTGGACTCGAGTCACATGACTCGAGACTTGACTCGGACTCGAGTCCCAAATTTGATGACTTGCGACTCGACTCGACATAATTAAAGAAGACTTGAGACTCGACTTAGACTTTGACAGCAATGACTCGAGACTTGACTTGGACTTGAGCCCTGTGACTCGGAAAGACTTTATGATCAGATCAGTCGTTATTACTCTAGCCCTGCAGCGTTGCGCTTGACTGGCAAAAAGCCAGAGACTGCGTTCAGGGATGGATAGGCTATTATAAATTGAGTCAGGGCCGTTTCTAGGCATAGGCGAGCTAGGCGGTCGCCTAGGGCGCCACCAGCTGAAGGGGCGCCAATGAGCGCA